GTTAGATCCAGTGACAGGACCCAAGGAGTGTAAATTCAATATCCGGTTAAGGTAGTGGAGTACTTGGAGAGGGGAATTAACAGGAGATAACTGATAACTGACATCCATTAAACATGGCACATGGCACGTGGAACTAGAACAGTCTACCCCAGCGAGCGAAATAAAGGGTTCAGTTCGACATTCCAACTACCTGAAGAATGCCGAAACGTTGTAATAAATATGGCGACAAAGATGAGGACAATAGTCTGAATAATGTAAATTTGCCAAAGAATTTTTTTAAAAAATGAATGTCAAGGTTTTGAACGTACCTATCATCAATAATTGACAGATTCTTTTTCCAATGACTTAACAAACCCTTGCAGATTATTTAGTTACAAAAATATTTTTAGATTTTTAAGAATTGATGTGGGGGGAGAGATAACAGTGGTTTAAGAATACTAGTCTTACTAATTAACCCAAAAGTCAATATAACGAACCCAAATGGAATTGGAACTCGGCTCCCCAATTAACAATTTCGAGTCTGTATACTACCATTACATCGAATCTTAGATCACCTAATATTTCCAAGCGCTCATTCATCTAGGTTCTAACCAGGGTAGTTATTGCTTAACTTCAGTGTCCGTACGGGACCCTGTAGTTTCGACGTGATATGGCCGTAAGCCCAATGCCTCATTCAGTAACCCACTCTACTGTGTAGGTCGTAGGACTTGTGTGAAGTTTAGTGAAAAACCGAATATTTTTAGGTGCCTATCGTATGCCAACACACGACTAACACAGACCCATAAAAGTGCCAGAAGTTACCAATTTCTCTTGAGCTTGTGTCGTGATATTTTTTTCGAAGATTTCGTAGGTCTCTTTATGTGATTTCCATTTCAAATGAGAAGACTGTAATGGAGAGGCAATCCAAAATTGGTAAATTGACATATGCTGATATAAAAACTGCACTAGAGTCATCAGTAAGAAATCTGTTATTATTTCATATCCAGTAGGCGACAAGAGTTAGACATATCTTACCTAATTTGAATGCACGTCAGTTTCTGACAGTATATATGAAATGATACTATTTTTATAAATATTATCTCTTGAAAAATGAAAATTGTACCACCTCCGACCTGTAAAAAAGAGGAAAATTTTGCAATAATGTTTAAAAAAAAAAAAATTAGTCAGAGTGGGAATTTTGCAATATTGAATAAAATGGAAGGAAAGGGAAAAATATAAAGTTTTCGTTGAGAAGCGACACAAGTAAAGAATGGAAAAAAGTGAGGAACAGAATGAAAATGGGACTGAGTAATTGTGAAAAAGAAAGAAAAAAAAGAAGGGAAGAAGGAAGGAAGAAAGAAAGAAAATAGAAAAAAAGAAAGGAAGAAGGAAGGAAGAAAAGAAAGAAAGAAATAAATTTATATGTAAAAAAGAAAGGAATCATAGAGATATGGAAAGAAAAGAATTAATAGAAAGAAAGATAAAAAAAAAGATGGAAGCCGTGAACTGAGGGAAGAATAAAAATAAAAAGAAAGAAAAGGAAAATGTAGAAACGAAGAAAAAAGACATGAATAAACGAAAGAGACGGATCTGAAAGGAACAACAATAAATCATAAAGTTTAAGAAAAGAAAGAAAGAAGGAAGAAAAGAAAGAGAGAGGTAAAGAAGGAAAGAAAATTACAAGCAATAAATCAGATGAAAAATGTTATAAGGAAGAAATAAAAGAAAAAGAAAGAAAGAAAGAAAGAAAGAAAGAAAGAAGTAGAAAGAAACACATGCATACACAAGACACAGGTCTGAAAGAAAACAAATAAAGCGTCAATCTTTAAATAAGAAAGAATTAAAAAAAAAAGAAATTGAAAGAACAGAAAAAACGTTTTGGGAAGTGTAAAAAGAAACGAACAAACCGAATGGATCTGAATAGAAAGTTATAAGACTTTTGGCATTGCCCACGGCAATGTCTGTCTCTTCCTTATTGACAGAATGGAATCCGAAACGTTCGCTCACTCGATAAAACAAATTAGGTTTTAAATATGGTGCAATAAATATTTTTGGATAGCACCAGCTTAAAGACGGGTTAATTGCCAACAATAAGAAATTCTTAGAAAAGAAAGAAAATTACTGTGGAGATCAACCCACACGGATTTTCATTTTATTGATTTGGATTTTATTTTTCTTCTAAATATTCTGTCCATTGTACGCTTCTCTTGGATAAACACTGTATCAAGTTTGAAAGTTTTCCTTCATTTTTTTTTTTAATCCGACAATATTTATTTGATTATGAGAATGTCGTACACAGGATATTCATTTTCTCGTGATATTACTAGCGAGATTTTGTGACGTGTAAGAGATTTCAGTGTTGAATACTGTAGAGGACAAAAATGGTTTCTACTCTTGCAGAATGCACGATAAGAAGCATCGATTTTTTGGGCTGGAAGGGCGTATCAATTCGATTGCTTTCACGGAATGTAATATACAAATTCGGACGGACAGGTGGATTTTGGTTGCAAACATTTTATAGACTTTTGTTGCCACAGAAGCGCTCGGCATACTCTTTTCGTATTTTTTTTTTTTTTTTCTTAATGGGGACTTGACTTAAATACGCGTGTTATTCCATTGGATAAATATACGGTCAGATTTATTAAGTGTATATATATATATATATATATATATATATATATATATATATATATATATATATATATATATATATATATATATATATATATATATATATATATATATATATATATATAAAGACATTTTTTATGTTTATACGTTCTTTTCATACATACAAATATATAAGTAAATGCTCGGTTTATAATGAATAGTATTAACGACATTTACCGGCCTCAATGTCCTAGAAATTTTGATAGAAAGTATGCGTCCTCCGACAGTAATCGAACCTGTATCCTATACGGAACCGTCATAAAGCCTGACGTGCTTTTACCGATTTAGCCACAGAGGAGCGTTCGGTTAGCAAGGTCGATTTTACTGTTTTTAAACTACAATTCTCCATGAATTTCTCTCGTACATTCATATCAGCTCGATGTGTATGCAAATGTAAACAAATGACGTCACACACTATGTTTATACGTTTTTTTATAGATACAAATATTTGTATCTATACAAATATTTGTATCTATAAAAAGAACGTATAAGTAAAAACAATGTCCATTTCATAAAAAATGCACTTTGTTTGTTTTTATGTTGTCGACTGCATATTATACTAGGGTTAGTTGGGCACCATCTGTACAAAAAAGAGCACCATGACACAATTCACTCTTGGAAACGCCATGCTGTAATGCAGTTTTGCGAGAGATTAACAAAACTCCTTGTAACACCAAAGATGAACTGAAGGCAATGATTATGGCAGCATTCACTAACTTAAACAAGGAGACTATCCAGAAGAGTTGCAGGTGATTCCGATGTTTCCTGAAGACTGTGGTTGAAGCCAAATGAATTTAACCTTTAATATTCCAAGGTATTTTTGTTTAGTTTTGGTAAATATATCTTTTATTGTTTTCCTTTATCCAGAATTTAGACGACAATTTAGACATCGCACTATGTGTGTGTGTATATATGTGTGTGTGTGTGTGTGTGTGTGTGTGTGTGTGTGTGTGTGTGTGTGTGTGTGTGTGTGAAGTTTTAAGGTGTGCTATATTTATGGGATAAAGTGCTCAATATCAGAGATAGAGCGTGTGTAAATATAAAAGTGAACGTTGAAGTCAAAAATCAGAGGCGACAGGTTGTTTCATGCTAGGCGCAATCGTCAGGGCGCCTAGCATGAAAATATATATATATATATATATATATATATATATAGTCAGACTGAAAGAAAGAAATATATATATATACATATATATAGAGAGAGAGATAGAGAATGAGAGGGAGAGAGAGAAAGAGATAGGAGAGAGAGGGAGAGGAGTGAGGGAAAGAGACGTGATGTCGGGTTTTATTGCCGACTCGTCTTTTATTTGCGATCATTTACTATGAAATCGGATTTTCAGCAGCAAAGAGGAAACATTTAAAGAACCTCCCACGCCGAGCATAATGTCCATCTCCATGGATCAAGCACTCCCACGCTTTGATGAAAAAAAAAAGAATCTTTTGTCTCTGCTGCAGCACAGTGGTGATAATGTTGCTGCCTCAACACCATGCCTAACTCCTTTCTTACCGTCATTCTTCCTACTCTTGCAATACTAGATATATAAAAGCATTTATTGCTTATATTATGAATATGAACAGAAAGCAATGGACTGACTGCTAATTAAATAGAGCGGTTTTATTTTGTCAATATTTACGATTCAAATCTTTGAAATTTCACAGATTATTTCTATCGCAAATACAAAGTTATAATTTTTTTAAAGTGCACACGAACGTTATGTACACCCTGTATATGACAGAAAAATTGCAAGTTAAAACACGTATAAACCTTTATTTTAATAGGACAAAAAATTTAAAGAGAAATATTCAGAGTGTATGAACAATAGATAGATAGATAGATAGATAGATAGATAGATAGATAGATAGATCAAAAGACTTAAGACTTTAAGTTTATCAGATATACCACTTGTAAGTATTAAAACTATTAAATTCATCAATATTTATCATCTTGTTATATATTACAAGCGCTACTTGAACCTAAACAAATTTCAAACCCATTCTATACTAAAAACGTTATAATTATATATATATTATTCCTAGTAAGTTTCTTGTCAAGAAAGGCTGTTTCTTGTTTAAGAAAAGCTAGGCGATAATAGGACGCAAGAAACTGAGAAAATGTTTATGAGTAAAAAGGACAATGAAAAAAGTTGACAAGAAAGCAAGAAGCCGGAAGAGAGTTCCAATAGCGAGAAAAAGTACGAGAGAAGAAACGATTAGAATAGAACTTTTTCTAATAGTTGTTTTTTATGTTTCGATCTAGCAATTTCAACAGTAGAAGGATGAGATCTAACTAGCAATCTAGTACTACATCTGAATTGATGAAGTCGGCTTACCAAGGAGGAAACCTCATCAGATCAATCGCCATGCAGAAAAAAGAGTAGATAGATAGATAGATAGATAGATAGATAGATAGATAGATAGAAATCAAAATACATTAAGCATAACTTTTTATATCAAAAAGCTTTCATAGTAATAATGCAAGTACACACCGAACGTGCGCATTTAGTTTACACCTGTCCAATCACTGCACAACAGGCAACATTAAAATCGTAGAATAGATAGATAGAAAGAAAGAAAGAAAGAAAGAAAGAAAGAAAGAAAGAAAAGCACAGGTCAAAATACATTGGTGTAAAGAATAACTTTTATATCAAAACCTTTTATAGCAGTAAAACAGGTACACACCGAACTTGCAAATTTCGTTTACCACTACCCAATCACAGCTCAACAGGTAACCTTAAAATCTTACAATAGATAGATGGATAATGAACATTCATAGATATTGTCTTGGGTCCTTACCTATAACTACAGCATGAACTCTTCCTAACACTATGTATACTACGCCTCTCAAGAGAGAGGGACAAATCGAGTCGAGCCGATAGTAGTTCACTCCAAACCAGACTGACAGTCATACTAACACCTTCCACATCTTGTATTATTATTTCGTGTAATATACCTTTGTTATTTCTACTCTTGTGTTCTTCCTTGGTCCTAACCTGGACCATAACAGATAGATAGATAGATAGATAGATAGATAGATAGATAGATAGATAGATAGATAGATAGATAGATCCTGCCAATTGCTATGCCAGAACAACTATTTCACACTCTGAATTCAAATGGTACAGACAACGCTACTCTGTTATTAAATCTCTACGTTAGAATGAATCGTTAGTAATCACCAAACCTGACAAAGGTTCACGAGTTGTTGTACTTAATCATTGTGATTACGTTGATAAAATGATGACAGTCTTGAATGATACATGAAAATTTATCAAATTATGACCAGTGGATGGTCATGATTCAACTGTGACATTGGAAAATAGATTCCAGAGAAAATTAGTCAAATGGAGAAAAAGTGTAGTCCTCTCTTCTGACATAGCTAGTGAAATTAGGCCTTCGGATTTTATTCGTTCACGTCTATATGTTTTGCCTAAAGCCCATAATACTCCACTAAGACTAATTTTGTCTACGGTGTTGTCAGCTCAATACAAGGTTGCTAAATGGATTGCCACACTATTGCAACCCGTATTGAAACATTATAATAAATATTGCAAAAAAGATTCATTCTCTTTTGCAAAAGATATTCAAAGTTCTAATTTGACTAATAAATTTATATTTTCGTTCGACATTAACAAACATTTTACTTGTATCATTATTTCAGAAATAATTGATATTTCTACTGATTTTCTATATAGTAGCCAGATATTTCCACCTGCCATTCCGGAAAATTTATTTGTTGAGTTAATAAGATTTGCTGTTACGTCTGTGGAATTTAATTACATGACACTATATATAGGCAAATCGATGGAGTTTCTACGGGTTCAGTCCTGGAACCAACTTTGGCAAACATTTTTTGGCGATTTCCATGAGAATCATCTATTTTCTGGAACTGCCAAACCGTTGATGTATCATCGTTATGTTGATGACACATTTTGCCTCTTTGAGGATTCAATGGGGGCTAAAGAATCTTTTTCTTTACTTAATGATATGCATCCAGCATTAAATTATACAATGGAAATTGAAAGAAATTTCACTTATTTTTGGGGTTGTGTTTTGTCAACTAGAACTCCATCCGGTTACATCGCGTCAATTTACTGCAAACCAATTTTTACCGGTTTGTATATACGCTGGGATTCATTCTGTCCCAACAAAAGTAAAGAAAACATAATCAGTACCCTAAGACATAGAGCTCTAATGATTTACTCAAAATCTAAATTAGATGATGAGTTAAAAACAATTGCCAAAACTTTAGCCAATAATGAGTACCCATTGGATGTAATTAAGTCGATTATGAATGAGAAAATCACTAATCTTACTAAACTTAAACCAAGTACGACTACTAAGTACCTTATTTATTTGCATTTGCCTTGGTTGGGTACAATAAGTGGGAAATTTGCCTCACAGTAGTTAAAAATTGTTATTTTTTGGCTAATGAACGTGTTGTCTTTTTTACCAGGTCTGCATGGGTGTCTACCCGAAAGGACCTTCTACCCCACACACCATATTAACAATGTCATTTATCAATTTAGATGTAGTTGCGGAGCCGACTAAATAGGTAGAATTACCTTACGGCTAGACACGAGAATACATCAGCTCGTACCTAGGAAAATTAGGAATGGTACATTCCAAGTTGATGACGTGGTCAACAACACATATGGTTCTGCCATCGCTGAGCCTTTTATAAATAATCCAAATTGTGCTACCAATTTTACCAGCAACTTTTTACCATCCTTAATCATGCTCATTCTTTCTTACTTTTGAAGGCATTAGAAACAATACATGTCAGGTTCAGACATCCTTCCCTCTGTAAACAGAGGGAGTGTCTGTAAGGGCTTGACATTATTTCAATCTGATTGTTCCGCCTTTGATACTTTACATATATTTCATATTTTATATTGTAACATTTATTCTCTCGATTTCAGCTGTGTTTTTTATCATGAACGGTAAAGTTTGTCTTGCGTTTTTGATTTCCATGATAAAGTTCAGTACCCCTAAGTAAATGACAGATAGATAGATAGATAGATAGATAGATAGATAGATAGATAGATAGATAGATAGATATACAGCCAGACAGACAGACAATGAACAGTCTTAGATAGATAGATAGATAGATAGATAGATAGATAGATAGATAGGCACAGATCAAAATACACTGATATAAAGCATAGATTTTTATATGAAAAAGCTTTCATTGCAGAAAAACAAGTACACACTGAACTTATAATCTAGTTCACAACTGCCTAATCACTGCACAACAGGCAAACTTAAAATCTTAGAATAATAGATAGATAGATAGATAGATAGATAGATAGATAGATAGATTGAATAAATATTCGTTTGAAAAAATCATTTATATAGCAAATGTAGAAAAACCAGTAAATACTGAATTTGTGTAGCGCGCTTAGCTTTCAATCCCAACTTTAAATAATCATACTTAAAGATATTGATATGAACATAGAAAAATCACCAAGAGGTGAATAAATAGATCGTCTTTACATTTCTCTTCGCACTATCAACGATATCTAATTAACTTCATATCATTTTGGAAAGTTTGTAATTTCTCAACTTAAAAAAAGAGAAATTGTCGATTCACTTTCAAACACTGGTCAAAAAAAAAGAAAAATCAAATAAAACATTTGTAGATTTCGGACAAAATGTCTGCTTGGTGATTACAGAGTCACTTTGAATTTCAGAAAGATAATATGATACGCCGTGCTGCTTCGTGAAGTGTGCAGTCGCCTGGAAATTGAGAGCAATCGCTCATTTTAAGTGGCAGAAAAAATGACTGTCGATAAACCGACCTTTTAGGAGAAGCTGAATATGTAGATAGATAGATGGATTGAGACAGACACGGCCATATACACAAACAGATACAGACATATGTATTAGGTTGAGTCATAAGTAATTTCCGCTTTGCGGAAACAATATTAATAACGAATCTATTAACTTAACTAACCATTCTTTACATATATTATAAGTCATGAAAAATGGGTTACATACGAGAATTTTCAACACGAAAAGCAGTGTATTGACAAAGACAAATCATCCAAAATGACATCAAAAGACTTATTTCCATAGAATAAAGGTGATGATTGGATGGTTTGACTGTCGGGATATTATTTAGTTTGAGTCCTTAAAACATTTTGGAACATTAAATGCACATTTTTATTAGGTTCTACAGAAAGTTCATTTTAAGGGAAATTAAAACACAAAACTAAATTATGCCATTAAATATTTATTCAACTGAATATGTACCATTCTGTTGTACAAACTTTTCCCATTTTTCCTTCATTTTTCGTTTAACCCAAAGATTTAATTTTCCCAGAATTCCATTTTCCCACAATTTCAGTGTTGTCTCGGCAAAGACATGATTAAGTTGTTTTTTTGTCATGCAAAGAATTAAAAATTTTTAGCATTGAGATTATTTTGCAAATACCTGAATAAATAAAATTCCAAAGGACCAATGTCTGGTGAATATGGCGGGTGGGGTAGCATATCCAGGCCAAGCTGCAACAGTTTTTGCCCGGTCACCAAAGAAACCCGCGGTCTGGCATTATTTTGACGAAAAAAAAAAACAAACCTTTTCTCTTTGCCAATTCTCGGGGTTTTTCTTGAATTGCTGCTTTTAATTCTTCCAGTTGCGAGAAGTACTGCTCGGAACTAATTGACTGGTTACTTGGCAGAAGCTCAAAGTACAGGATTCCTTTCCAATCCCACCAGCATGACTTTCTTAGGATGAAAATCTGCTTTTGAGGTGGCTAAAGTTGGCTCGTGTTGCTTACCCCAGGAGGTTTTTTCATTGAACATTCTGGTAAACGATCCATTTCTCATGACCCATCACAATATGCTTCAAAGGGTTGCATTTTCATTGCGTTTATACAGTAAATCACAAATGAAATGCGAGCCAAATATTCTTTTCCCTCAGATCATGTGGTACCCAAACATTGTAGCGATTTCAGTGTCCAAGCTTCACTTCGTGCTAATGGATGGTTGATTTTAATAAATTTAGTGTTTCTGCCAATTTTCCACCGTGTGTAATGCTGGCTATCAATATTCGGATTTGATCATCATATTTAGTTGGGGGTGTTCCTAAGTATTCTTCATCAATAAGGCTACAATCATTAACTCTAAACTCAGTCAACCACTTCCGTACAGTTCTGTCAGTACCTTCGCCGTATATAGCACATATCTTTTTGCTGCTTTGCGAGGCAATTTTGCCTTTTTTACTCTAAAATAGACCTTATAATCTTCCATTTTCATAGGGATTCAAAAGTAACGCGAATTAAGTAATTTTGAACTTTCTTTCTCAACAGATAGTTTGATGTATGCTCTAATAGAAAATGTGATAAATTTGACGAAACATGAACGACAAAAATTGGCATGAACTTACCGGACAGCCCAATAATAATCACTCAACATAATAGATATATACAGAGGAATAATGGATAGCGGCTCGTATTGAGAAATCAGAGAGCAGAGTTCGAATTCTAATCGAATCCGTTAAATTCACTTACGTACTAAATCCCTTGTGAAAAGGTATGATTCCTCTTCTTCTCGCCGTAGTTATGGGTAAATAGCAGGACAGACTGGATTCTATAGCCTTGGATGACAACTGATCTAGAAGAAGGATAACTGAATTCAATATCTGAGGAGGGCCGTTTGGGGAACATCATGGCGCGTAGTGTTCCAGGTCTCTGTATTCGAACCTTCAAAAAGTGTGGTTGGTTCTGCACAAAACCTCCACGACTATAATCAAATCATATGTGCAGGTGTCTGGCTGTCGGTTCCTAGGAAATGAGCCGCTTGACACTCGTTTGTTGAATACAAAGGGAGAGTCCACTATATATATATATATATATATATATATATATATATATATATATATATATAAGGCTCAAACACTAATATTCCATGGTTATAATTTATTACATTGGAATCGTAATCTCAAATTATTTTTTTTTTTAATTTGTAGGTTTGATGAATTGGATCGTGATTACAATTCCAATGTAATAAATTATAACCATGGAATATTCGTATTTGAGCCATTTATATTATATTCTTAATCTGTCGGATTCTATCTTCTTGTTAATTTATATATATATATATATATATATATATATATATATATATATATATATATATATGCATGTATGTCTGTGTGTGTGTGTCTATTGACCACTAATATATATATATATATATATATATATATATATATATATATATATATATATATATATATATTGCGTGTAAATTATTATCGAGATAACTTTTTTCTAATATTTCAAAAACCGTCAATTCACACAAAATTTTCGCTCAATGTTGGCAACACTGAGCTGCGCAATCACTGAAATTTTCGTACTGACCTGCGCTATGTTAATAAACTGATCAGTGTTGCTAATATTGTGTGAAACTCTTGTGAATTGATTGGACGGTTTTTGAAATATTAGAAAAAAGTTATCTCGATAATAATTTGGCACGCAGTGTATACATATATATGTATATTGACCACTAATGTCATATATATATATATATATATATATATATATATATATATATATATATATATATATATATATATATAACGGTAGTAAATGAGTTTTATGTACGATGCAGTTGTCAGGTGCTGATTGAAAACTGAGAGTTACATGATTTAAAAATATTTATATCGTAATTTGACCAAATCATATTTAAATAATTTTGTAGTTGTATGGATTCGACTTTGACGCTCCAATACTTCAATTTAAGCCCCCCGCAATATATATATATATATATATATATATATATATATATATATATTGTTGGATAGATGTGAGTTTGTGACCCTGGGTTTCACGCTTTACCGATCGTCAGACAAACTCAGGGTCACAAACTAATGTTAGCTTTATCTCTGATATTGAGCGCTTTCTAATAATTACTGCGCATATAATATATAAATAATTATACATATATATATTTATTTATATTTATATATATATATATATATATATATATATATATATATATATATATATATATATATATATATATATATATGAAGCATTTTTTCCTATAAGTCAACTCTCGAAGTTTATTATTATTAATAGTAGTAGTCTGGTATTAAACTCACAACTCTTTGGGTCTAGTGACTACATCGAACCAACGCCTCTATCCACTGGTCCATGTGTCCTTGAGGACATCTGTGCATGAATTTCCGTTATTATTATAGCATCTGTTTTTATCAGAGCTTATATTTATATATATATATATATATATTTTTTGTATAGTTATTCATTGCTTTTTACTCTAACACTCTTTATTACTGTCTCTATCTCTGAGATGATAAATTGTTCTATCATCTCAGACATATAGACAGATATCACAAATAAGGAGGATCAGAAACGTGACCGATATTGTGATATTGTGTTTTATCGTAGCGTAAACTGCTGCTGGGTTTTACTTGTGTTCCTTCGGCGACATAATTATTAAAAGTTCAGGTTCTGAGTACACATCGATGGCATGTTATATTATTTATCTGGCAATTACGATTTTCAAGCGCTTGAATCCGTCTTACCGAAAGCATTTCCTTGAATATCAAGGGCCAAATTATATTGCAAGCTGTAATGTCGTTTCTTTCCTGTTCCGCAGAAAATTGGCTACACAGATGAAAACAACGCTGTTATAGCCCGAGGATTGCTGCACCTTTGGGCTTCCACCATTAATCTGAGGCGAATGTTGCAACCAGCTGAAAACCCGAAACATCGAATTGGCACGTAAATGAGATTTTTAACCCTTGAGCCAGAACTCATTCGTTAGGTTTGAAAACCTTACAAGAAAACGTCTTATTCGTAATTCAGTGTTTAGATCGTCACAGAGGAGACAAAGTTTCTCTGATTATGCAGATGGCCCTCTCCAACTACCTAATAAAGAATTTATTATACTCTACTTCGAGCCTTGTGGAATGGCGCTACGGAATCAAAAACGATGATCTATACCAGATAACAGAAAACAGATCACTTGGGGACTTTCAGCAACAGCAAGAACTTAAATGGATAGCACCTGTAGCTCGAAAAGAAAATAATGACTTAATCAAGATGTTGACGTTCCACACTACTTCAAACAAAAGGTTAGGAGGGAAAGGGCGATAAAAGGTACTGTACTTGAGAAATCTACTTTCCTGAAAAATTATTTGAAGAGAAAAATTTCATAAATCTCTTTTAACTTCCTTTCTTTTTCAGCTCTAAACAATTTGTATTCCTTTATTGTCATACCCAGTCCCTGGTTTCCCATCCGTTTACATTTGTTCGGTAGGTTACCCTGACTAACAAGTTATTTCAAGGGTCACCTTCTAAGCAAATGTGTCCTTTTTCTTTCCATTTGCTTTAAAACGTCATCGTTATTCACGAATAATGAATTCTCACTATCCTTCAGTAGAATCACATCTCCATTGCCTCCTGTTAATCTTCTACAATGTTCATAGATAGATAGATAGATAGATAGATAAGATAGATAAATAAATAGACAGATAATCAATATGATAAATAAATAGACAAGTAATCAATACACATAAGATATAGAAATAAGATAGATAGATAGATAGATAGATAGATAGATAGATAGATAGATAGAAGTAACAAAGCGGAAGCTTGATTTAAAGGTCGAAAGCAGACGTCGCTTTGGAGCTAAAATTTCACCGGTTTTTGAGTCGTTTATTTTTCGTTGCGAAAAGCTGAACTTTGTCGGTTCAGAGAGCGCATGGCTCGAGAGAAAATGATTGAAGTTCAACACTCTTTCGGAGAACTTATTCAATTCTCCTTTTCGCTGGCAAACTTGATTAGAACAAAAACAGAATCACCGAATCTGGAATTGTATTCCGTGCGCAACTGAAGCAGCGAACATTGGATTTGGAAGGTGTCATTAACGCCAAATTAGAAATTCTGAAACGCCAGAATCGTTCGCGTTGCCAAAGAAATTGAAACAAAAGTCATATTTATCAACCTTGCAACACTTGAAAATATTTTCATTCTCCTTTCGTCAGTCGCATTTGCATTTACGCATATTGTTGATCGCTTTGTCTTTCGAAGTGGAAATCAAAAATTGGTACAGGCTCTGATAGCTGATAAGGACGATACAGTCATGCATGACACAATAAGCGAAGTGAAAAGTTTCAAAAACTGAATTACGGTAAATTTTGAGTGTTTCTTAATAATCTTTTCCCCCAAAATGGAGAGAATATGGTAAATTCGTTTCGGGCTTGTCTTACAGATTGTCAATGGTTTCTGCTACAGGAAGTGAAGATCTTTATGTTGTCTTTGTAGTTCTAGCATTGTGTTTATTTGTCTCACCATGATTCAAAGAGAAATTTGGGCAAAAGAACCTATTTTCCTTTTGAATAATTATATCCAAGTTCAAATCACTACTTGGTAGTCGAACTTAAGAAGAAAGAAAGAAAGAAAGAAAGAAAGAAGGAAGGAAGGAAGGAAGGAAAGAAAGAAAGAAAGAAAGAAAGAAAGAAAGAAAGAAAGAAAGGAAAGCAGAAAGAAAATTAAAACCAAAAAGGAAAAAGAAAGAGTACTGAATTCAAAAACGAAAAAGCTATACATCGTGAGTGTCATGCCATAATGCAGAAAAACAGAAAGTAAAAGAGAAAGAAAGAAATAAAGAAATTATGAGAGGTAGAAAGAAAGAAAGACAGAAATAAATAAAATTAAAACTAAAAAGGAAAAGTATTGAATTGAAAAGAAAGAAAGAAACATGTCTGACAAACCATAATGTTCACAATCTTTTTTCTTGCTTCCGCCTTTCTAAGCTCCCAGATGCCCCACTTCCGCACCTATAAAAAGACACTTATTTCTTGCTATCAGTTATATTTTATTTACTGTTATTTCCCCCATTGTAAGGCCCAAGAGCTGCTCGATGTAGAGATTTACTGACATAAATTGTTGTACAAGAGAGGAAAGTGGAAGTAAGAAATGCCCAATATGAGGATATGTAGGATAGTGTTGTGACCAATTAAATGGTTAAAGAAATAGCAAAACCAAAGTTACATATATATCATATATTAAACAGTAAGTACAACAGAAGAGTATTACACGACTAGTGAGTATGTGTCGGTTGACCCAGCGTTCAATCTATTCGACTGTTCTCCCAAGGAGGGCCTTCTCTCTTACTAATCTTATAGTAGGCGGAAAAGTCCACCATAGACTCTTTAGAGGGAGGACACCACGACAGCTAGATAGTTGTTGAAGAAACCAAGATTATATTTGTCGGGGAAGTAACTTCTCGGAAGAACATCTTCCACAAAGCAACAATTCTCGAGAAGAAAATTTCTGTGTGGAACATGCTCCTTATTAAAGAGTCACGAAGGGAATGTGGAAGATTAGCCATCGTGAACATGGCCTGGTGGGTCCTAGCTGTGACACTGCAAATTCAAAACAACTAATCTAACACTATAGACACTCTTATGCCTTTCGGCTTTTCTTTTATGCCATTAGATAAAATGCCGCCAGATGGACATCCATGCCTATATCGATACTTCAAAATGTTAATCCTTTGTTTTTGTCCTCCCTCCTTCATTTCTTTCAATCTTAGTAACTCTCTTGCGTCTTAATGGCTTTATCTCTTTGCTTATGGTGAAATGATTTTAAAAATCTTCCATTTTTCTATTGAATATTTCATTTCAAATTTAGTTTTAACTATCTTAACAGGAGTAATTTTGATATTTTCCAGAACAGGCTCACGTCAATATATGGTATCGAGTCGATTATTTAAGTTCTTTTCCTGTTTGAATCAAAATTTAAAACTGTATAGCTGGTAAACCACCGTCGAATTGTAAAGTAATTCCGACTCAATAATGAGACCAGTATAAAATTTTGTAGACGTTAACGCTTTCTTCTTTCAAGATGTACGTGATCATGGCTCTCCACACATTCTTTTTGTTAATAATAATGAAGTACCATAACTTCTTGGGAAATAATTACAGGCTTTTTCTATTCTCTTCTTCCTGATTTGGAATTCAGAGTTATTAACGAAGGTTAAAGGATGCGGTCTAAACTAATTAACCCATAGCAGGGGATGGACAGAAAAGATAAATGTATGGGCATTTGTGTGAGGGTGAACTTTTACAGGTTATGAGGCCAGAGAATATTTTTAGATTTTGAGAAATTTTTGGAGATATTAATGATTTACTGATACGTCCTACAAATAACCCCCTTAGCTGCAGGGTATTTGGGGCGTCATTAAATATGACGAACCCGATTGGAATTGAAACAGGGTTCTTCAATTACTAATTCCGTTTATCCATTGCACCATCTATACATCCAAGCTACAGCAGCTGGTATTTTCAAGCGATCACTCATCTAGGTACTGAGCAGGCTCGGCGTTGCTCAACCGGTGTTTCAACGTGATATGACCGGAAGCCAGTTGGCGATAGAACCACGGCCTACAGCCAAATACCCATTCGTATAAGGTATTTTGACAACGTCACAAATGCGAAGAAAATAGAGGTTGATGGTGAGTAGTCGATTCTTCAACCGGGCAGAAAATGGAAGAAACAAAATGTCCGAAAGGATCCTCGCATTTTGATAACAGCGCAACCCAAAGATACAAGAACACGTCAGTAATCTTGAAGGGACCCTCTTTAATTAACTTCCCGCCCCCCGATAAATTTGGCGGTAGATTACTTTTTAATACGAAGAGTTCAGAACTGTCCAACGGGAATAAAATTAAGACGTATTAAATGGCCTGTTTGGAACAGGCGTTTCCTTACTTAAATTAATTAATTTTGATTCGATCCACTTGAGATATAAGGGTTAAATTGATCAATACAGGCTTGAGATTGAGCGCCAAGGTGCTTGAGTTCCCACCAGTCTATAGAGAAACATTAGGATCAATGAGATAGAAAGAGAGAGCGTTCAAAAGTTGGGGTAGAACGAAGTAGAAGAAAAAGAAAGAAACAAATCCCAGGCATATTGTCGACTTTACATTTGCTGACCACAGTACCTGAAACTTGAAGGTAATCCTGGCTATAATACATCCACACACACGCCCACACTCATACACACACACTGCCACACAATCACACACTGCTACACACTGCCGCGCGCACACACACATATATATATATATATATATATATATATATATATATATATATATATATAGATATATATAGATAGATAGATAGATAGATACACCTAGTGAGCCAGACAAACCTACCTAGGTTTCACCTAAACGGATCGTCAGGGAAAGTTTGGCTAACGAGGCAAAGAGAAACACATATTTATAGGTGATAGCTAAAATCATACCACGTGACAAAAAAAAAAAACAAAAAACAATCAAACAAACCTAAAAATATATATATATATATAGTTAAACCTAGAGAGTATATTATAGTTTCGAGCGAGGATAGTTTCTTATACTTATAAGATTTGTTATTTATATATATATATATATATATATATATATATATATATATATATATATATATATATATAGTCTTAAGGTGTGCTATATTTATGGGATAAAGTGCTCAATATCAGAGATAGATCGTGTGTAAATATAAAAGTGAATATTGAAGTCAACACTTAGAGGCGACAGTCAGTTTCATGCTAGACGCAATCGTCAGGCCACGAGTACTGTTATTTTTCTCGGCTATTTATATATACCTGTCAGTGCTGCATTGTGGGTAGTCTATTTTGCCGGTGATTTTACCGGAATTCGTTTATTTGTTTATTTATTTATTTATTCATTTGGGTTAAATTATTTTGCTTGTCATTATTTTTATTTTTTTTAAATAAAAATAAAATATATATAAGATATAAAATAAAAATAAAAAATAAAAATAAATAATGACAAGCAAAATAATTTAACCCAAATAAACGTACTAAATTTTTCATTTATTGTATTTCCAACTAATGAATAAACATACTTTTCCTATAATTAACTGTACACAGATGTATTGTCCGAGCCATTACCTCTTGCCATTCTGATAACCTTCTTACACGAATATCAATTACAGAATGTTCTGATTGTATTTTTTTAGGATAAAAATAACTACTGATAATATTATTGGAACATTCTAGAATATCCAGTGTTCAATAATCTACAGTATTAAAGCAATTTAAACGTTTTAAAATCTGAAATTTTCAATGTACGAATATTTTCACCCATTAAAATGGATAAATGGAATTTATTTCTATTAAATCAATTTATTTTTCTGTTTTCTATGTATATTTAGTTATTATGCATTTTCTTTATAAATTTTGTGTATTTTTTTAAAAGTTTTGGATTTATGTAGGGTTGCGCGTATTGGTGTTTTTTATGGAAGTGGGAGGAAGAATTGTCTTCGTGATGCCCACTCATACTGACACAAACATACATACACGCCCGTACATCCACTGAGGTACGCAGACACACATACACACGAGCCTCGCCTACCGGAGCTCACACAAACATAAACATATGTGAACAGTATGGGACTTGGCATATATATGTATATGTGTGCTGTTGTGTACATACGTACGCATTTGATTGCTGAATTCAATGATGGATTGTGTAGCAAATAATTTTCCTGAATGTAACGATGTCAACACGCAGACTGTTTTTCTATTTTTTCGCGGAATAATATTTCCTCGCACGCACGTATAAACGTATGATGGGGTTTGTGTAAGACTATGATAGGTAAAAATTGCTATCATTTTTAAATTTTAAGGCTGTTTCGATATTATTTTAAGGCCGGTTATTTACTTGTTTTTTGGCGATTGCGCATATGTAAATGGTAGAATCCTTATTAGTTTTTATGCGGTGGTATTAATTTTGCTAGGGGAGAGAGGAGTAATTTACGTTAATGGTGATTGCGGACTAATATGGCAATAGTAATTGTAATGTGGTAGTAATAATGGGGTGGGTTGATGATAATAATAATTGTAGTAGCAAATAATTATTGTAAAGTGGTAGAAGTGATTAGTAATGGTGGTGGTATGATAACAATAAATGCAATTATTATGATGGTAGCCTGAACTAGAGAGTAATTGTTGGCGTTATGGCATCAGAGGTGTCTCTCTTCATGTTTATAGGGTCACTGATGGTTTTATGTGGTGGTGTTTTTTTTTGTTTTTTTATCCATTTGGGATAAATTCTGATAATAGGTATTTATTTTCATGCCTACATTTGGAAATTATTTCTGATTTTATGTTTAGTAAATTCTTTTGTTGGATATTACTGCTACCTTTTCGTTTAGGCAAAGTAGGCATTTTTTTTTTTGTAATGTTGTTGTAGGCAGGTGCTTTTTTTCAATAATTTCCAGCTTATTCCTGGTGTAATATTTCCGTCTTTTATATGCCATATGTATGTGGATAGTTTATTTACGTTGATATAATTGAACATCAGAATGGAGGGGATGAGACACTTAAATCTTAAACTTTTAAATTAAAGTTTTTTATATATAATTTTTGATATATAATTCAATTTCATTTCGTTTCTTTTTTTTTTTTTTTTTGCTTTTGTTATTAATTATCGCACATTGTAATAATAGAAGTTCTGCCAAGAAAGGTGATTTCTTTCTGAAGGTAAATTTACTGTCGCTGATCTTGCGATCAGTCGATCGTAGTCGGAATCATCGAACCAATGCGACCGATCATTAGGGCACGTGTCCAATTGGTTAGAACGTTGGCATTCTGACCATGAGATCCGGGTTCGAATTGGCCGAGTTCGAATTCCAAACGGATCCATTATATTCACATACCTGCTTGGGAAAGGTACGAATCCCCTTCTAACCAGGGAGAAGAAAAGGATTCATAACTTTTCCAAGCACGTATGTGAGAGTAATGGAACCGTCCGGAATTCGAACTCGGTTCGCCGCTATCGATTGCACCACAGCGATTAAATCACTTTCTAAACATTTTCGTCTTAGTAGATTGCTTTCTTTTGTAATTATTTAATTCTAAATTATAGTCAGTCTCATTACGGTGAGTGAATAATGCATTTACTGTATTTATTTTGTAAAAGATACCTTTTATGTCTATACAATATTTGTTTTTAATTCCTCGAGGTTTCTCCTATGTATTCATCGTGACAATTATTACAGGTGATGGAATAAATTTATCATCCAAGTTTATTGTTAATTTTCTTTGTCTTAATTACCGTATTTTCCGGCCTACGAGACACTGCTGCTTGGAATAATATTGGAAATAATATTGGAATAGGCTTGGACCTTAATATTGGAAAGGAATTCTTTAAAAAAAGGCGTTCTCATGCAACAACACATTCGCCATGCGTCCACCATATAACTGGCGCTACGTATTTCTTACATTAATCGTGGTCCGAGTTTCTTTGTATGACAATGACATACTAGTAAAGAGCAGAAAGACCCCCGCCGCTGCTAGTAAACACAGCATATTTAAATTTATGGCTCGGCTCTAGGAAGGTTTATAGTCTTGGAAATGCTTGTCACAGCTAATTACTGAGGTTACATCATATAAACGGCTGAATTAGATAGCTAATATTATAGTGTAATGACTCAGCATACAAATCGACGTCCCTATCAGTCAAGTCAATTAGGTGACCATCCAAGGTTACTTCAGCCTGGGTGTTGCCTTATATTCGTCTCGGAAGACGCACACGTATTTTTCAGGGTAATTTTGGGAAAAAATTGCGTCTTGTAAGCCAGAAAATTGATAAGTAGATGTAACAATTTTTATGTTAAGCTTAGATAAATATTTTTTCAATTGTAATTGTGATAGGCTTGTTAATTATAATGATATATTTTGATTTTTTTAGGGTTTGTAGAATGGTCCAAACTTCGATTTTGAAATCTGTCAGTCTCGGGTGACTCTGGCTGATGTTTTAGTCACAACGAATAGATTGCTGCTCCCCTTCTCTCCAGTACACATTGATGGGTAGATATGGAGAAGAGACGCTTACTCAAGCAGTATGTCCCCGGGCTCTACATCTTTGAAATGGTCTAATGGAAATGCAAATCATCATATACATGGTTCCAGTACCATTAGATGCATTGCCAGAACATTGCTAAATACAGATTTGGGCCGGAATATGAATAAATAATGGGTGAATAAAAAAATTATTATCTATATTGCTATTAATGTTGAAATTAGTTTAGGGATATTTTTTATGTTCCTTGAGGTTATTTTATTTTATTTCACCAGGATTGGGATAAATTTATTTAATTTTGCCTGGAATTTGCAATTTTATTTCTTCTAATGACTAGACAGCCACTGACAACTTTTAATGTTAAAATAGAGGGTATTCTTATCATTGAATGCCAAAGATTAACACATTTGTGCAATTCAAGGTTAAAACATTCTTGGATATTAAGATTGAGTCATTTCCTTGCTTCTTTTTCATATTTCAGGCAAATTAAAATATTATTTCAATATCTGTCAATATCTATCATTACTTGTATTCTTTGCATTATTATCTTCATTGCCGATACCGATCCTTCAATATCTGTCTATATCTCTGAAATGAGATATTATGATGACTTGAATTTATTTTATGTTTAAAACATTCTTTTCCTATATACAAATATTGAAGTAAATGCTCTGTTTATAATAAACACTATTAAACATTTACCGGCCTGAATGTCCGAGAACCTGTATCTTATACGGAACCGTCATATAGCCTGACGTGCCTTTTAACCGATTCGGCCACAGAGGACCGTTTGGTTAGCAAGGTCGAATTTACTGCTTTTAAACTCCAATCATTCATGAACATCTGTGGCCGAATCAGTTAAAGGTTGAATATATATAAAGAAGAAATATAGTTTTAAGGTGTGTTATATTTATGGAATAAAGTGCTGAAAATCAGAGATAGAGCGTATGTAAATATAAATATAAAAGGGAAGTCAACACTCAGAGGCGACAGGTTGTTTCATGCTAGACGCAATCGTCAGGCCATCGATGGATGATATGTATCTTCTTCACCTTTAAAATAACTTCTGTATCAGACAATTTGATTACGTTGGTTTGCTTCTAGTCTGACGATTGCGCCTAGCATGAAACAGCCTGTTGACTCTGAGTTGCCTGTTGCCTCAATGTTATATATATATATATATATATATATATATATATATATATATATATATATATATATGAGATAATGATATAATTTTGAGATATCAAGAACAATATTGGGAAATCGAATGACAAAGTGGAAAAAGTTTTAATACTATTCTGTTCAAAGGAGAAAACAACGTAAATTTCTCGAAAGTGCCTTGATCGCACGGTCATCTACAGTAAACTTGCGCCATGGATCATACATTTCACCATTCCTAGCAGAACTTCTATTATCAAAGTGTGGGATACCTACAAGCATAAGTGTTGGAAATAAAAACAAAAATAAGCTAAATGAATTCGGCTAGATTAAAAATAAAAATAAAAATAATTTTAAATTTAAAATTCCATCATCCATCGTTCCTGCGCATGCGTAGTCACACCAACAAAACAAATTTAAGCCGATGAAATCCTAAAGGACGAAACAAGTTACAAGAAAACTTTTTCCACTTTGTCATACATATTACCAAATACATATATATATATATATATATATATATATATATATATATATATATATGTACATATTGGAAAGTGCTCAATATTAGTGATAGAGCTAACATATTTGGTTGTATGGATATGAGTTTGTGACACTGGTTTTTACTCTTTTACGGTCATCAGGCACTGAACAGAATCAACTATGAATACTTCAGTAATGTTCTGAAATGCCTATAAAGGAACAGTTTTTTTTTCACGCTTTAATGCGCGTATGAACATGACATTATAACATGAAAAAAAATTCCATGAAGCATATTTTTTTCACGTTACCCTTGTGTAAATCCTCTTCTTCTCCCTCTCCAGCTATGGGTAAATATCAGGACAGACTGGGTTCTATATACTTGGATGGCAACTGGTCTAGGAGAAGAACAACTACGGAGGGTCGTTTGGGGACCTTGTGGCACGTAGTGCACCAGGTCTTTGTATTCGGCCCTTCAAAAAGTGTGGATGGTCCTGCACGAAACCTTCACCACTATAATCCAATCTCATGTGCCGTTGTCGGTTTCCTGGGAACTGATCTGCTTGACCCTCATACGTCGAACTCGACAGGAGAGTCGACTATATATATATATATATATATATATATATATATATATATATATATATATATATATATAGTGTGTGTGTAAGTTTCATCAAAAGAGCATTCAGGCCGAATCAAAAATTTGTGTTAGATATAACTAAATAAAGGCGCCAACTTGCTGACAATTAAGTCCATTCTTTCTTTATCACGTACATATGACATTAACAGCGTTTAGGTCATAAATTCGGGTGAAACCAACCAACCAACTACAAAATCCGAAAATTCATTGCACGACATTTTAAATGTAATTGTGCTGTCCCAACAATAAATACTGTGGAGAAATAGCGGTGTTGAGAGCGTCAACACCCGTAAAATATACCGAACAAATTTGACGGTGGTGTGAAGATAATAAATTTTGGAATGCAGCCTAGAGACTCGCCAATTCTACTTTTGTGTATCCACCCGTGCCACACTTTGATCGCGATGGTTGTTAGCAAACTATAAATTCTCGGTTGTACACTTTTCTGCTTCGTTCTCATGGTGGGGTTGGCCTTTGGACAAGATATTTCTCCGATGGGTGATATGTATCTTCTTCACCTTTAAAATAACTTCTGTATCAGACATTTTGATTACGGTGGTTTGGTTCCGGTCGTAAATTTTCAAAATTTGTTGCAGAAGCAGTGTCAACCCCGACCTTACCAATACCGATTTTAATCAGAATTTATTTGAGTATGTGACATTTTAAAAACTCACCTGAAAAAAAAATAAAAATAAAAACTGATTTGAGAAAGATAAAACTATCTTTTGCGTTTTTCGTTTTCAGTGTTCTTCGTTTCCTTTCTTCAAACACTTTTGATATTGCTTTTCTTTCATTCTTTTTTGTCTGTTTTATAATTTACCTTCCTATTGCATCCGTTTTTTTTTACAACCGGTCTTCTATGTTTTGTTTTTTTTTTCAAATTTTACGTTATTTTCCGCCTATATTAACAGACTTCACTTCTTTTTCTTGCTTTTATTCTTAATTTCCAAATTCTTTTTCAGCCTCATTTTCATTTACCCCCTTTCCTCCTTTATTTCCTTCTCTCTTATCTTTATTTATTTTTCGTTCTTTTTTCTCTAATTTCCTCATTTTTATTCCTTCTATCTTGTTTTTATACAATTTTTATTCTTTTTTATCTAGTATTTTCTCTTTTATTCCGCCCATCCTATATTTTTTTCTCTCGTTTTTATTCATTTTTTATTCATTTTGTCTGTTCACCTCACGTTTTCTCCTTTTTTCTCCTTTCCTTCTTTCTTAATTTTATTCATTTGTGCATTCATTTGCTCATTCACCTGACATCGCATTCTTTTACCCATTGTTTCATTCGTTATTTTCTCCCTTTCATTTTCTCTTTCTTTTATTGCATTTCATTTTTCATTCTTTCTTTGAATAATTCTCCTTGTCTCTTTTTTTCTTTTTTTTCTTTCTTTCTTTCTTTCTTTCTTTATTTATTTATTTATTTATTTACTTATTTACTTCTGCCTATATTTCTGAGATGAGGTACTGTAACTATTTAACCTTTTTACATTTTTCGGACTTTATCCTCCCTTTTATTGTCATATTCACCATTTTTCAGCCGTTTTAGGCTCCGGCCTTCTTCATGTCATTTAGATTAGAATTTCGAACTGGGCCCTTTATTTCATCCACCGGGATAGATTGATCTCGTTCCACGTGTCACATTGAACGAAACGGTGGATGAATTAAAGTGTTTGGTTCAAAATTCCAACGTATATCACCTGATGAAGGCCGGAGCATACAACGGCCGAAACGTCGTGAATATTACAATAAAGATGAGAGCAACGTTCCGAACAATGTAAATAATGTAAAGATTTATTTATTTTTCATCTTTTTTTTTTTTCTCATTTTTTCGTTTAATTTTTTAATTCGTTTTACTTTCATTTTTACAGCCTTTCCTTTCTTGTCAATCTTTTTTAGCCTTTTTCTAGTTCTTTCTTTTTCTTACTTGCATTATTTATATTATTCGGATTGTTATCCTCATCTTCATTGCCATATTCACAACGTTGTACATTCCGGCCTTCTTCAGCTGATTGGAATTTGAACCCGAACCACTTATTTCATCCACGGGGGTAGATTGTTCTGTTTTAGTTCCACGTGCCGTGCCTCTTCCTGATGTCCACGTTATTTCCCTTTGACACAACCCTCCATTTTTTTTTTTTTTTTTTTTTTTGGTTCACAACTGCTGTGGTCTCGTAATGAACTCACAACACTTTGGGTCTAATCACTGGTTCTAACCAAAGTCATTATCCACTGGGTCATTTTTCCTTGATGGCAATGAAGATGAGGTTAACAGTCCAAATAATGTAAATAATGCAAGTAACCATAATACCTCATCGCAGAGATATAGATATGTATTTATTTATCTTTTTATTTATTTTGTTGTTGTTGTTCATCTCTTCGTTCTCCCGTCTTTATTTAGTCATTCATCCGTTATTTTTATTTCTTATCTCTTTAATATCATCCCTTTCATCACTTATGCTCTTTCTTTCTTTCTTTCTTTCTTTCTTTCTTTCTTTCTTCTTTCCTTCCTTCCTTCTTTCAATTTTCTAATTTTTTCTCATTTTTGTTTTAATTTCTTTCCACTTGTCTTTGCTTCTCTTTTTTTTCTATTCCATATTCCCCCCTCCCCTCTCTAAAACCAGTCTTAACGTCAAGCATTTTTTACTATGGTCAATCATAAAGAACAACGGCGACAAGCAATAAAATCCTTCCAACAACATCACTCGAACACGCTGAAGTTTGCCAGTGTTCCAAACATGGCTGTCACTCAATATTCTGTACTTTGGAAAGAAGTAAAAATGTCCATCAGCAAGACAGGCTAATAACAAGAATCGTACATTAAGGTGACTCGAACAATAGTCGTCCGTTTTTTGGGATTCTTCTTGAACATAAATCAACTAAAAAACAAAACAAAACAAAACAAAAAACAAGTATATTACCGGAGAAAGACAACAGGAGTTGTGCTCAAGATTATTATATCAGAAAATTCTAACCAGCAAGACTTTCAATGAAGCCGTTAAAAAAATCACCTTTGATAACAAGTGCCATAATGACATATTGGGTAATCTCTACGAATTTAAAAGCATATAGAATTAGGCCCACGCAGTAAACTGTTCCTTGGGGATAAAAGTGAACCATATATCGTCGGTGAGATTCCAGAAAAGCGTAAGGGCATTTTTTGGTAAAATAAGAAAAAAAAGCATCTTAGAGATAAAAAAAAATTCAGAATCAAAATGCATGTTTTAAAATTGGTGCTTAACTTCAGAAAAAATAAACTTGTGTCTAAATATTGTCGATTTTACCTCACAGTGATCAGTTCACGCATTTCAAACATGTACGCTTCCATATATTTTACTATATATGTTATACCCATTTGATTACAGAAGAGAAGCAACAGCCTCCCATTAAGATGTATATACGCGACAAACAAATTAAAATTGAGTATCAAAATCCGTTAGTCATAGTTTCATAATAATAATTACTCATAATAAGGTAGAATCCATGACAAGCAAGCTAAGAAGGCTTTCCGGATAAGAGGAATTGGTTACAAAGTCCGAATATGAGAAATTGGTTACAAAGTTCGGATATGAGGAATTGGTTACAAAGTCCGGATATGAGGAATTGGTTACAAAGTCCGGATATGAGGAATTGGTTACAAAGTCCGGATATGAGGGATTATATTTAGATTAAAATAAAAGAACTGAAATCCGATTTAACCTTTATTTTCAGTGTTTTATAGTAAACAAAATCAGCTAATGGTGAGTGAAATATCACCGAATTGATTTTAAGGAAAAAGAAATAAATTCTCTAATGTTAATGAAAATTCATTAAATTAAGTATGCCACGTATGCAAAATAAATAAAGTAACGAGGATTTTTTAATCGCTGTTGCATGATGATTCTTTCTCTTCTAATGTCATTCTCTACTTTTTGCGCATTTCATGTTGCTTTGGTTTTTGAATTTTTTTAAGCGAAACTTTTTAAGTCTGCGTGCGTTATTGCAATAGTCATAGCTGAATGATGGCTTTCTTTCCATAAAACTGACAACCTTTTCAATAGATTTTTCAATTTCAGTCGAGGTTTCATCACAATCATTTTTTTTTCTATTTCCTTGTTCATTGTGACAGTGTGAATGCTGTAGAATAGTTTATTTGGAAGACCTGGCATCTCGACTACAGCCACTTTCTCACAGATGTGTTGTGGCTTTCCTCTGTCTTTTCTACAAATATTTTCACGGCAAGTGCTCTGACGAGCTACTTTCACTGGTACCCCAACTGCATGAATTTAAGCGTGCTACTAGGTTGGCATCTCGGTCCCATCTTTCACTGTCGAAATAGTTAAATGTAACCGCCTCTTCTACTCCAAGATCTTTTTCTCTCGCACTTCCAGACAGTGGAACTCCCTTCCTCTTACTTGCTTCCTTCATAGCTATAATCTTCAAATATTCAAATATAATGCCTATCGACATCTTCTGATGCTATGATTCTGATCCCAGTCTTTCCCTTTATCCTTTCCTCAAACACCCCTCTTTACTCTTACTCTCTGTAACCCCTTGCGTGTTAGGGGCACTACCGCCTTGCCTGGGGTGAAATGCTTAAAAAAAACGTACCTATTTGGTGGTGTCAGATTATAGTAAGCTTTACGATATGTGATTAATAATTATTGTTTTGCTCAATTATAGTTTTGCTTTGTTACACCACTGAAACTGAATTTAAATTTTTTAAATTAAAATTTAAAAAAATGAAAACAATATTCTCCTTAATATACAGAGTTATTAAAAAAGAATGAAGCGATTTCATGGCGCATTCCTTCAGTACTCAAGCACCGTCGTAGAATGAGTAAGTGACCATTAGAAAGTGGAATTTTTAAGTTTTGAATGGCTGCCACAGAAGCGCTGTAGTCGCGTTTTATCTCCGGCAACGTTTAGGTTTTTATTTACCATCGAAATGGCGAGTCATCAGCAAAAGGTGTTCTGTGTTCTCGAGTTCACGAAACCAGATACGGCTGTCACGGCGTAGATTGCATTTCGAAGGCAACTGTTTAAACTTTCAAGAGATTGGGTGTCTTTGTAAATGACAAAGTCCATGACGAACGCGAGTTTCGGAGGAAAAAGTGGTGAGAATCCGTGCTGCGCCTGAGGGGAGCCCACGAAAGTCCACAAATCGAGCTAGCCATGAGCTTGCGATCTCTCAATCCACTATGTGGGGTGTGCTAGGAAGACGTCTGCATTTGAAAACTTTCAGAATACGCCTCGTTCAGGAACTTACCAAGACTTTGCTCTTTGTGCTTGACCTGCTTCGGGATACGTAAAAGATCGCATTTATGTCCCACCGCTACTCACTAACCTCGATGTCCGTAAACATCGAATAACAACAGCGATCAACTGAGTGGATCGTTATATGCTGATGCAAATCTGGGAGGAATTCTCTTATCGTATTGATGTTGTATATGCTGCAGATGGTGGCCATATTGAACACTTGTAAGACAGGAAATAAAAGTTGATTGTGAGTAAAATACTTGTGACTTGACTGGAGTTTGCTTTTGCTTTCCCTTATTAAAATATTGCCTAATGAATTTAATTCATTCTTTTTTAATTACCCTGTAAATTATTCATAAAAGCAGTTAAAAGATACTATAATTAAATAATGTTTTAATTTTATTACGTTTTTAACTTTACAATTCAGAGCAAATTTTCGGTAAGACGAAGTCCGATTTTGAACAAAAATTCGAGGATTTACATTCTTAAAATTCTACTTTTAACGAATATAGTAACTGAAGATTATCACGGCGGATTTCTCAAGTTTTCATTAAAATTAAGTGGGAGAAATAGAATTAAAAAAAATATTTATTCCAAGATGTTTTAATAAAATGCCTTCAAAAATAATTTCAATCATTTATGAATATGTTCTTAAAATTTCATTAAAATCTGACAATTATTTGATTTTTGCAAGAGTTTTCAAATTAATGTTCGCGTCACCGTAAAAAAGAGGCTTAAATTTAAAGGAATAAGAAATATACTAAAATATTTTTCAAAAAATACTTTGATCCTTTCTCTTAATAACAGCATAAAGTTTGTTTACGATAAAACTGTTTTCATGACGTTTGGGGCATGTTTTCATGACGTTATGCTGATATTTTAACGATCTATCTATCTCTATATCTATCTCTCTCTCTCTCTCTCTCTCTATATATATATATATATATATATATATATATATATATATCTCTCTCTCTCTCTCTCTCTCTCTATATATATATATATATATATATATATATATATATATATATATATATATTGCTGTAAAAACATTAAGCTGAATATTACTCGTCATAATTTAAAAAAATGATGGTAAAATAAAAAATGGAAAGAGAAAAACAACCGGTTTCGCTCCCGCTCTTCAAACTTTTTAATCGGGAGAAAAAGACTAAAAAATACAATAAATCTAAATTAGCGAATGATTGATGAGAGGATAGAGAAGGGGAAAAATGGTTGACGGGAGTACAAGAGACTAATGATAGCAAGCCCCAGCAAACAATCACGCTGTTTAGAGAGAGACGGTTTGCTAGATTTGATATACAGTGGCTCTAGTACTTTATGATAAAATAAACAGTGTGACTGGGACAAAACAGTGAACCAGTCAACACTGAATTTAGCCACACGCTTATTGTTCTTTAAAATGTGCTCACAAATTGAGGATCCGTATATATATATATATATATATATATATATATATACGTTGTATTTTCACCCAGTTCAGTATTTGTGTATTTAGCAGCAATCCTTATTTCATGCATATTTCATTGAATATGACAGACAAGGTGCTGTTATTTAGATATTTATACAATTTCTCATGCGATCTAATATTTTTTTTCTTTTCAGATGATAAATTATAAAAACCGAATGTATTGTATTCCTAATCAATCAAAATTCGTAAATAATTATATGGGCCGCACTACAACATGTTTGACACGCAGACTAACTCTACACATTTCTGACCATAGCTCAATTAGATCTCATTTAAATATTAATGGAGACCTACCGGACATTATTCTTAACATACTTGTTGACAACACTAATATAATAGCATCATCCACATGAAAAAAAGGCTAAAAATAATGGAAGCCTTATTAACAAAAACACAAAAATGATATTAACTTTAAACATGGACACAATGTCTTCACCATGTTTTGAAAAAATGAAAACATTTTATAAAACATACATATAACAAACTATTTCTTATTTAACAGTTAAAATATGTAATCCTTGAAAATGGCTAAATGTATAGCTGAAAGCGGTCGGATAAAAAGAACTCGGACAGTTTTTATATAATTTATCATCCGAAAAGATAAAAATTATTAGATCGCATGAGAAATTGTATAAAAAAAATAAATGAAAGCACCCTGTCTGTCGTATTCACTGAAATGTGCATATATTTATATATATATATATATATATATATATGTGTGTGTGTGTGTGTGTGTGTGTGTGTGTGTGTGTGTGTGTGTAATGGGTTTGAGAAATATTTGGAGATGTATTAAATGAGAGTTGACTATGTCATATATTTTGATATAAAGTTAACAATTATTAAAACTGTTTTTAACCAATGCCAAGAATAAAATATAAAGAAATTATCGATGGATAATTTATACGAACAGATGGATAGCATATCTTTATAATTATTTACATGACTTTTGCTTACTCGAATACAATTCCCGTAACTTCTCACAAGACTCACACAACGTTCCTAACTCACTGTTTTTCAAACAAAATTCAAATCATTAATTTTTCAAGGAGTACCTCTGATAGGTTATTTAATGCCGAAATCTAAATATTTTGTATGCAATTTTATTTTTACCTGTTTGGGGCGCACCCACCTTCTAACTAGTAATGGACTGGTCCCTCTTATATAAGTCAGCTCTAGAGAGAGACGACAGGAGAGCGTTAGCAGTCCAGATAAGCTTACCCGGTACATACCGTTGGACTATAGACTTTGGATATTGTTTCGTACTAACCAACCTTCGTTCTACTAATCACTCTATTGTTAATTGCTTTCCTGAATATACCAGTATTTTCCCCTACAACTGTGTTTGTCTTGATTCATACACCGACACGCGGGAAACTCACAACATCTCAACAGATAATAAGGGTTTTAGTGATACAAATCTTACTAATTAACCCATAGTTGGGGAGAAGATGTAGATTCATAGCATTCCCAAGGGTATTTGCGCCTAAGTGAATATAACGAACCCAACTGGAATTCGAACTCGTTTCTTCGATTAACAATCCCGTGTCATTATCCATTACATCACCTCGTATTCCCAAACGGTCACCCATCGAGGTACTGACTAAGCTCAATGTGGCTTAACTTCAGTGATCGTACGGGAATCGGTAGTTTCAACGTGATGCGGTCATAAGATGCGAACATGGGTCTTCACGACTTCCTATGCTTGACAATCTTTAACCCCTTTATATTACAAATGGTTGATTTTTTTTTTCCATCCATTTACGCAAGCTCCTTAGGTTGATTTACTCGCTGTTTCTTCCCTGAATCCTCTTCTTTTCAATATATCCTATGAGTTTCAGGTTCCTTAAGTCGCCTTTCTTCAATGTATCCCAAATATTTCAAATTCCCGTTTCTGATTCCTAGAAAATATGTCTATTTCGCTCCCACTTTCCGTAAAATTTGCTCGGGGTTCTCTCACTCCGTCCATGTTATTCGCAGCATTCTTCTGTAGAAGTACATCTAAGAACTTTCAAGCACCCTCTTCATCTGTGACATTTTCTAGCATACACATCAATATATGATTAATAATTCAGTGTACTTATCTTTGTCTCCAACGGAATTTTCCTTTTGTTTATGTATTTAACTTTTGGATAGCATCCATCATAATTTCAATTCGTTTCTGGGTTTATCTGGTAACTTTTTCATCGTCTGTTAAAACTCTTCCCAGATGGATAAATTTCTCGATTTTTCTTTATTTTGCCAAATTGTAGCAAGCCTCTTGTGATGTCCCTCTTACTAATGAATACGTATTCTCTTCTCAATATTTGATGGTTAGGCCTTTCTTCTCTCCTTCGAAAGTCAAAATGCCATGTCCTGTAGCAGTAAATCACCATCGTGCAGTGTTGATAGTGCGTCCAAGTTATCCGACACCAACTGAATTGACTGAAACTGTCAAGAAAAAAGATGAGAATGACCAAACGCGATCTGATCACTTGAACCTTGTCGAGAGACGATATGAGATATAACAAATAAGTTTGAGACTGACCAACAGTATTCGCTTTATCTCATATAACGTCTGATTGACAGGATCGTATTTAAGAGTTTCACCTCTCGCACTGACGTTAAATGAGTTTTGCAGTTCTTTTTGTGACATCTCTTTTATGATACAGCTTCACTCCACAAACAGTGACCAGTTATTTTCTTTTATATACCGGGTGTAACACCAAAAATTGTCCAAATCATGTAACAGCAAAATTGTCCAATTGTTAGATTAAAATTTGAAACGTTGTATCTTAGAAATGATTAAAAATATCTCACAGGAATTCTCCGAGGTTTTTATAACACTATTGGACTCTGTTTGAAAAATGAGAATGTATTTAGCTCTCAACTGAAATTATGATCCTTCTTGCTGTTGTGACCTACTGGTTCAGTTTCCCGTTCTAATTTTCCCCTTTTTTTAAAGATTATTCACCGTTCTCTTGATGGCTCTTGAATAGATTTTGAAGATGGGAGCCAGTGTATGAATGTTGATACCATTACTGAAGGTGTGAATGATCTTTTTCCTCTCAGCATTGCTCTCAGTTGGAAAGACATAATGAGGCTAAGACAAAACGATTTCAACCTGTTCTCTTTCTAGCTGAATAGCTCAAAGGGTTTTCTCAGTGATTGTTACGAACAATGGCTAAACGTCTTATCTGAATGCCTCGTAAAACAAAGCTCAGTTACTTTAGTGGTTTCTTAGATATTAAACATTTTGTAAGACGAACAATTATCCTACGCTTTTATTTCATTTGGACAATTTTGCTGTTACACCCGATACCTTCTCACTAGTAAATTTCGTCATGGCCCTGAATTATTTGCTGTATTGAATAATCTCTTTTGTGCGTTTTCTCTACGCATTGTCCAGCTGCAAATATCTATTTTGCATGCTCTCCGGCCTGTGGTTGACATTCGGTGGGCAGGTTTGTACTTAACCATCAGCGAACACCTTGCTCTCGGGATATATTTACCGATAATTCTCTTTGTACACTTGGAGATATTTTTGCCTGCATGAGTAGAGAGTCGACATAACAAATTCACGTTTGCTACTTCTGTCATCTACGGGTGAGGTGGCCAGGAAATAGATCGTTCCTGGCCACCTAACCCGATGTTGATAGAAGTAGTAATCGATCGGGACAGCACATCATTCCTCCTTTCCTGATTTTTGAATCCATGGAAGCCTTAATTGCCAAATATACATTCACAAAGAGGAATTCCTGGTTGCAAAAGGTATATATAACCTCTAGCAAGAATTATAGAATTAGCTCAAATAGAGTCTTTTTATTATTATTATTATTATTATTATTATTATTATTATTATTATTCTGTGTGCTGCATCCCTTCAGGACGTTGGCGATCAGGGCTCTCCACATTTCCTTGTAATTTGTAGATCATAATACATTTTCTATTTTTCCTATCTCACCTAAACGTTGTTCCACCATCCATTTTTCGCTGGGTAAGATATGCGCTATTTAACTCAGTGCCAAAATATGTCCTGTGTGTTTTACATTTTCCAAACCCTCTTTCTTCGTTATGTATCCTAGAAATTTCAGCTGCATCTTCCTGATGTTAAAGCGTCTTTTTTTCCATTTTCTCTAATACTACGTCGTTGATCACATACTCGGACTATGGTATTCTCAGCATCCTTCTGTAGAACCATATTTCTATTGCTTCAAGTATCTACTTCATCTGTGAGAAGATTGTCCAGCATTCACTGCCCTATTGGAGGACTGATATTACATAACAATTCAGTACTCTTTTCTTTGTTTCTAACAATATTTTCCTTTTTCTTAGCTTAGGTTTTGGAAGCTATCTTTCTGTATAACAATGGGGCTTTGGTCTTCAGCATCACACTTTCCGTCCTCTGTTAAAACACTTTCTAGATATTTAAATTTTTGTACTTGTATAATTCCGACATCCCCAATTCATAATTTTTAGTGTTGGGCTAATCCTTTTGCTAAAATTTGTCTTCTGGCCATTGGTGTTTAGTCCTTTCTTCACGCTTTCCTTCAACAAATTCTGTGGCTTGTAATTTCCTTTCGGTGTCTGTTATCAACACTATGTTATCTACATATCTCATGTTAAGATTTTGGCCACCAATACTGAACCCTGGTAGGATTTCTAATTCTCTCAGAATTGCTTCACTGTATATGTTGAATAAGTCCGGTGAGAAGATATGCCATTGTCTTACATCCCTTTCTATTTTTGTATATTAACTGAATTCATTTTCTATCCTTTTGTAATCTGTTGCTTCCAGTATCAGTTTTGGATTATTCTGATATCTCTCCCAATTATGTCAAGTTTACCTAGCAAGAAAATAAAAAAAAATTAAATATTCGCTTTGTTTGCTATTTTTTTTAAATTTTTACCTTAAAGAGTGTACTTATGTAATGGGCGTACCCTGATGGTCAGATCAGTTAGAGGTATATTCAATGAGTTAACTCCCATTCTCTCTCAGTCTTCGAGGAAATTACCATTCTGTAAACTATATCGCATTTCGTAAGACGCTATAAAAATATCCAAATTATGATATTAAAATTTCAAAACCTGAAAAACAGAGTTCATTTTTGTAAGAACCTTAGGGATGATGTATTTTTGCTGCTATTTCTTGCGAAACCTCAGTCACCGTATAATGAAATAAAGTACAAAAGACAAAATATGTTAAAGTAGAAAGATAAAAGAAACAGCCGTTATTCTATGTTGGTGGCGTAGTGGATATAGGACTTGGCTATACTTACGTTGTTTTGATCTAGTGGTTAGGGTTTCAATCCTTGTATTAGGTAGTGAAGCACCAATTAAACAGAACTGAACAATAAGATGGAAAAATATCACAATAATTAATAGATATATTTATCACCTTATCAACGAACACCTGAATATACCAGTGTATTTAGTCGAATTTCGCACTTATCGCTTATGGAACTCTCTTCCGGCTTCATGCTTCCCAGTTAACTTTGATCTTCAAAAATTGAAATGTAATGTCAATCGTCATCTTTTATCATCTTAATTTTTCTTCTTTCATTGTCCTCTCTCCTTAACAGTATATTTAGTAACATCTTGCGTCTTAGTGGCTTTAAGTCATGCTTGTGGTGAAATTATTAAAAAAAAAGTTTGTCTAGTCACTAAACACAAGACTTTGTATACTATCGTTCGCCCAAGACTCAAGAGGCACTCAAGGTAGATGAATACTGAAATAAGTTGTTTTAAGGATGTAAAAGGAAGATTTAAGAAGCGAAGACTATGAGCATATATAGGATAGATAACTGTTTATTCTACACTTGAAAAGGGTACGATTGTAACGATCGGAGAAGCATACACGCAAGAGTTTATTCTATCAAGTGACAATTCTGGGAAATAAGCTGTTGAAGGTGAACTTCCTCCTTACTAATGGAATACGAATGGAATGAGGATGTGTTAAACTTGTGCACTTGACATGGCGAATCATAGCTGTGAATGTCTAAATTTGTGAAATTTGGTAATGAGTCAATGCCACGAATAATGTGGGTAGAGTATAGCAACTTTTCGTTTGGTTTGGTTTGGGTTATTTAATGTCGACAAGATTTGTATTACTGTTAATGATTTTCTTTTTTCAAAAATGTACTCACACGGGTATTTACTCGTAAGTGAATGTAATGAAGTAGACTGATGTCGGAAATCGACTCTTCGATATCCATTTTCAAAGCTTCATCTATTACACTACCTTCACATCAAAGATTACAGCACCTGCATTTCCCTAGGTAATGACCAGGATGGAAGTTGCTTAACTTCGGTGATTGTATGAAAGCCGGTTTCAATGGTCTATAGACATCAAACCAGGTCTATAAAGTCTATGACTTTTGTTAGTATCGATCAGGTTTGGTTTGTTTCGTTTGTTTTGTTTTACGGCATATCAACACCTCAGTGGGTTATTTAAAGCCGACAAGATTTTTATTGCTGTTAATATTTTTTTATCCATCTATCTATCTATCTATCTATCTATCTATCTATCTATCTCAGTATATATTGGTCTGGATTGTTTTGTTTTACAGCATATCAACATTAATGGGTTATTTAATGCCGACAAGATTTTTATTGCTGGTAATATTTTTGATTCAATATTTTTGTTATACCACCCCGGATCAAGCGGGAAACACCAGCAAGTAAGAGGTGGT